CACATGTGCTGTAATTACAGGTTACCCAGCGCCCTTATGCCAACATTGGACCATTAATTCGGGATTTCATGAAGATATCACCAGCGATATCGATGGCCTTTCCAATGTTGTAATGCTATCCGGTCAAAGCGAATTTCGTTCTTCGCTAATTTAATTTGTCCCTCAGATTCCGGACCCAAAGCGCTAAGTAAACGTGTCTACTTTTTGCCACATTTAATTTCAGTGAAAAGGTATAGAACATTTTCGAAATAGGATTAAAAATTATGGAGTGATGGTACAAAACGTTCATATGTCAACCTAGCTAGCTACTGCAAATTTGATGGCAAACGGACAAATTCCCTTTGACTTGTAGCTTTCAAGGGTTGACTCGGGTGCTCACATTTAGAGGTCGTGAAAAATTAAACAATTCGATCAATAGCCAGCTTTACAAGCTTTAATTAGATAAAGGGTTTTAGGTATCTGCAGTTTAAACCGGACGTGCACTACTTGTACATACATTTTTGTAGATTGATTGTATATACACTTCTTTTTTTTTTTACTTATTTAATTGTAAATAATTTCAACTTTTTTTTGTTGTGTCCCCAATTAGTAGTTAATACTAAATACATTGACACTTCAATAAAGCTGTTACGCGCTACATCGCTTGAACGCGAGACACCTCTAAAGGTACGCGGTAATCTTAACTTCATATCATTCCTTTTGCTAGCAAGCCACCTTTTGGAGGTCCGGAATTCTAGCCAAGAGCAAGAACTTTCACTCATTGTTAATGTTTTTTTACAAGAAATATAGAATTCAACGGGAGATGCTAGCCAGCAAATTGAGGTACAGTATTGGACTGAGCCCAGTAAATAGTGCTCTTGAGTTAATGCAAGCATTTCACTATATGGCCATCAAAACAGAATAATCCAAGTTTATGTCACCTTGGTTTGTTTCTTGTTTGCTTTTGCCATTTATGTTTTAAAAAATTTAGTGTGTATGGCAAGGAAGCCCAGGGAAGCCAACAATGCGCAAAAGCAGAGGAAGACAAAAAAACAAACAAAAAAAAAATCAAAAAAGCACACACACAAGCACACTAAGAAAAGCTAAGTAAAATATACTTGTGCCAAGGAAGAATGAAAGATGACTTAAAAACGTTCATCGTGTGCGAGCTTCCTTGACAAATGTTTCACTGAACAATTTTACTGTCCAGAGGAAGAGACTAACTTACTTTGAGAAGCACTTGAGCCACTGCTTGATGACACTACAAAGAAACCTGGGAAATTAGATAAAGAAAATAGGGCTGCCTGTACCATGAATTAATTAATACATGTTTTGCGCTCTCCGATGAGGCTATATCAGTTGAAATTAAGACGACGCGACATCAATTTTCAATGAGGCCCGGTCCACACTAAGCCGGAGAAATTTGAAAACGAAACAATCACCAGTCATTTTGGATTTGTGTTTGAGGAAAACTCGGACAAGGAAATTAAATCACCTGATTATCTTGATATAATCGTTTTTAAAATGTTTTCCTTCCGCACTAAAACGCAAAGCCGGCGTTTTCAAATTTCTCCGGCTTAGTGTGAACGAACGGAAGTCTAAAATGACAGACACCAAAAGAACTAAATAATCTACCCACCAGAGTGTGGTGTGTCCATTCTCACCCACATAATTATTATAACGACCTAGCTCGTTTGAAAATTAGCCGATTAGCAAATGACATGATCGACAGTTATTGCAATAACTACATCTGCTCAGCAAGTTTTTATTAAAATATTTTGGATATAACAGCTTACCTTCCAAGAGGAAGACAAAACCAATTGTAAAAGATGCTGCGAAAGTCATGCTGTTTTCTTCCATCCACAATCAAGAAAACCTGTTTAAAAAATTCTTGTAAGAAAATTAGTGATTACGAGGTATTTTACTCATAGCTAAAGACGAACACTGAACGAGGCATTCTTCGTACAGTGACAACGCCGAGAGCGGAGTGTTTATCTACAACAAAGACTGGCTGCTATGAAATATATATTTTTCCAACGGAAAATGCTCACTGCGCAAATGCGCAAAATGTCGTTAATATGTTATTTGAGAAATAAAAAACGTTTCATCGCTTTGCGCTCTCTATGTCTGATGTATTGCTTTTGAATATGTATATAGCATACGGTAAACACTAGTAATTCTTATATCAGTTAGGTAATGCTTTTGTGAGTAAGTATGGAACAGCAGGGTCAACGGGACCAAGTGAGCGGCGAGGCCCTGGGTTTTACCGCTAGAGTGCAGTCTCTATCAGTTGAGTTAGTTTCCGATATCATGGATATTAATTCAACTCCTCCGGTCAGCATGACTGACAAATGATTGCTCACTGATTAGCCTCTTGCCTGCGTTAGATGCTCAACTTAGCCGTTTCCTTCCCACACCCGTTCTCAACAAACATTACTTATGATCTTCATACACAAAACTTGCGTGAATAAATGTGCTTTACCTCTTTCTTTAAGTTGTTTGCTGCCTTAACGCTCTGGAGCGCAGTCCATGTTGATCAACGAGCTGCGCTGAGGCTGACGAAAACTAGACGCCCGCACACGGCACCTGGACGTCAAAACTTATGAATATTAACACTTTTACACAATCTCGAAATATAAATTCTCCCTACCATTTTCCACATATTTGTTCTCATATTTGTTCAGAGAATTTGTTAGTTCATCATTTAAGACAGTATTCACTAAATGATGAATTTTTACACAGTTATCGTCATCATGCTTGACAATTTAGGATGGGAAGTTAAAAAGTATGCCGTGAACATCATCTGCTGGCCATTAGCGGGGTATACATCACATTTTCCACAGTTTAAATTTCATGGCAGCCATATGGCGGAAGATAAAATGTGAAGAAAGACTTAAATATTATACCGCTCTAGTCTCGGCATAAATGGTTTTCCCATAATCTCGTTTTCCACCAAAGTGGATTTTCAGTCTATGTTTATTTGTGATGAATTTTCTATGTACTTAGACAAAATCTGACATCGTGAAACAACAGAGCTCAAAAATCGAGGCTCAAAGTCTGTTTTCCGGTAAAAAATGGTGATTATAATAATAATGATAATAATAGAATGCTGTATGTAGTTGAGGTAGTTTCCCTTTTGACAATACCGCAGCTGTTGAAAATTGAATTAATTACTTATTGCGGAATAATCTAAACAAAACTGGTAAAAAAAATAATTGCAATGAATAAGAGCTGCACATGGTAACTTCAGACCAAAGATTGGACCTAAAGTATGTTAATAAAAATGTACCTGTTCTGCCATTTTGAAACTGGAGGAGGAGAGCTACTCGCATTTACAGCAGCTGCCAAAAACACGCGAACAAAATAGCACACTTTTCATAAATCGTAAGGGATTCTTACAGCTTTTAGCAAGTATGAAACGTGTTCTGAAGAAGTCGATGATAAGTACATATTTCCTCGAATAATAAGCTTCCCCTGCCACCTGAAATTGTGACTCCAGAATCATTCTATCAGATCACTGAAACTGTCGCGTGAGAATCTTGAAAAGGGAAGAAAACGCAGAGGAGTTTTTAAATGCGATATCAACGTTAAACACACGATCCTTTCTGTCAGAAAAAAAACCATCTTCTTGAATTCTCCTTTCTTTAAATTTTTTATAATGTTTATCTTAGAATTTTTGTTATCTTTGAATTACATATTTGTTTTGTCTTCCTCAGCAGTTGAATTCTTTACCGCGGGAAGCGTCACTTTGAAAAGGAAGTGAGCTCTATGTTTTGCAGACGAGCAATGCGTGGCTTGAAAACGAGTCTGAACGCTCACCGGAAGTGCGCAAGTCTGAAGTTGAAGATCAGTGGATTCGCGGCTGGGTTTAAATAGACAAAGGGAAGGAAACGTCTTCGACAAGCAAAATACTAATCCTGTTCTCGATAATCGGAAGAATAGATACCCATGCACGCGACGATGAGATAAGGGAGCAAGGATATCCCAAAGCTGGTGACAACTAGCTGTGTTGTGACTGTCAGAGTCTTTTCTCTTTCTCTTCGCCTGGACTCAGAACCTGTAGGGTCAGGTGAACCGTCCAAA